GTTGTGGTTGACAGCTCAGTTGGTGGAGAAGAATCCTTCAGAGCTGCTGTTCCTACCCCTTGGCCATCCGTGGAGAATGCATTGGAGGACCAAACAGCCAGCTTGCAAACATACTTTGAGCCACCTGGTGTTTGTCTCGGGGTGGCAGAAAGGGCACTAGATCAAGAGAGGCCAGGGGCAGGCTCTGTTCGTTGAGAGGCCTAGGATAAACTCAGGAATCACCTGGTCTACCTTCTTTGTTTCATAAGGAAGCTGAGGACTAATGAGGTGAAATGGCCACTCAAGTCACAAGAAAAATGACCAGCGTAGCCTAGAACAGAATCAGAATTTCCTCACTGAGTTCTTTCTGCTACATTGGTGCTGACATAGCAGGTTCTTATGAAAGCCTCCGAGTTTCCACACAAGATTACAGTACCCACTTGTGGAAAGGACCACGTTCTGCTTATGAGTCATGGCCCTCCTTTTCTTTTCTGTTGAAGTGAATACTGGCTAGGTAGCCTCTTGTTATCAAGAGGCTGGGTTCTGTTTTATACCCTGGTCAACAAAAACTAGGGGCTCAAAGTTCAGGTTATGCCATTCATTGCATTGGATTTAGGGCATGTTCTGTGTGTTTCCAAAATCCAGTGACTCGGTAGAATGAAAGAGAGACCTAAAGTTTTGCTTCCTTCTGGCTTAAAAAAAAAATAAATTCAGTGGTTTTACAATGTAGTCTCCCATTCCTGTCTGTGACAGAAATGTCATAGAACAGTAGTCCCAGTAGTCTATTTACAAGCTACTAGAGACCTCTGTAGTGTCAAACTAGGAAGAAAGGAACGTTCAGGGCAAGTAAAGGAAGGTGCTTCTTCTCAGGTAGAGGTTTCTATCCCCCAGTTCCTCCAAGGACTGAAGGTTTTATGGTAACAGATGTGGGTGTTCTCCAAAGCCTGACTTTGCCTGTTTTTTTCTGAATCCTTAAGCATGGCCTTCCTATATTTTCAGGACCCTGGTGTCTCTTCCTGGCTTTTAAATACACAGGAATGAAATGTTCTTTTTAAGTTTATTTGGTTTACTTTAGCAGCTTTTGATGTAAACTGGATTTGAGGATAAGACTTTGGTGAAACCAGTAGCTGTATCCACACTGTCTCATCCCTCAGTAAATTAGCACGTGGGAAACTATTTAGAGGGGAGGAGATCATTTATGGGAAAGAAGATGCTTTTCTTATTCTCTTTTCATGTGGCTTGCTTCGTTCCTAACATGATAGATATTTTCTGGTGTTTCCTTGGAAAGCAAAATATCCCATATTAACATAAGATGGCTTCTTTGGGAAGCTGAAATTCCATGTGCTTGTCCACAGATGATTTCTTCGAGCACCTCTGATTTGTGCTGTTGGCTGCAGAAAGGGAATTATCCTTGGCACATTGTTTCTTTTTTATCTCAGGAGCGATGCTATTAAACATTAGCCAGTCAAAGCTATAGGCAAAGGTACCCTATTATTCAGAATTTCATGTTACCATTCATTTATCTCTGTGGTCTTTTCCCCGCCTACCCCCCAGCGGTCACTGGCTCAAAACATTATGAAATGGGTTACTTCCTTCCATGACGTTAACAATGTTTGTACTAGACTCTTCACAGATTAGAGAATATGAAATAGAATGTGAAACTGAAAAGCTGAGGATATATGGTAAATGAAACTGGCCAGGATCTGATCAGCTTTGTATCAGCAGCCAAGTAGGCTGCAGTCCTCAATTCAGAGTAGCTTGAGAATAAGAAAACCTCTTGGATACTTATAAATGTTATCTGTTATCTGTTGATTGTTTGGTTTTTAAAGATCCGCAGAGTGAAACTTCACTTCCAGGGTACAAGCCATAAGAGTGGCATGATTGGGGGGTGGAGGGAAGCTTTTAATGAAACCCAAATAGTTTAAGTGATTGAATTAATACTTTTAGAGGAGCCAAATAAATGTGTGCCCCTGAAAGGCACACATTACCTGCCTAGTAGGTTGCAAATATTTTGAATGCTGAGATGATGTCTGATAGTTCTCTATTCTCTTCTTGATTTCCTAACCAGTATCTTGTACCCTGTACAGTCACCTATCACACAAAAGAGATCTTCACCTGGTGCCCAACACATTCATCCCAGGCATAAGACGGGGCAAAGCCTTTTCCCCCAAAGTCTGCTCATATATGGGTCACCCACTGAACACTTGTATGAGGGGTCCTCAAACTTTTTAAACAGGGGGCCAGTTCACTGTCCCTCAGACCGTTGGAGAGTGCGCACTGTGGGCCCAGGACAAGTCGGCTGCTAATAACCAGGACAGGCAACAGTGGCAAAACACCCAGAGGGCCGGATAAATGTGCTAGGTGGCCCGCACGTGGCCTGTGGGCTGTAGTTTGAGGATATAATATGAGAATATGTTTCTCATATCAATGGAAGCGAGAGGAAAGCATAATCCAAACATAGCGCACAGCTCAGGCGTGGTTTCTATTCACCACGGTCTCAGATACACTTGGTATTTTTGTAATTGGCTCATGTTCTTCTAGTGTGATCTGGACCTCTGGAGAGACTTCCCATTTACTGATAATTCACAGAGTGAGCAATGTTTTCCCTGATACGTATAAGTGGATGGTATAGAAGTTCTGTTGAATTTTGGTATTCTGTAATAGCATTACCCAAACAGTCATTTCCCCAGCCAACAAATATAATATCTCTCCCTGTAAATATTTGTACTTTAACTAAACTATGTGTTATAAGGATTGCCATTTATTCTGCTTCAGGGCAACTAGGAAGGTGTTATAAGAAAAATAGGGAACTCTCTTGAAAAGCCACCTAATGCTAAATAAAACGTACACCGTATGTGGAGCCCTGCCTTGATTATGATGGAAATGATTTACACTGGAATATCTAAATGCAGTAGCCCTTAAAGCCAGAGTGCTCTAAAATCTGCTGAGTGGGAAGTGACCACTGAGCCAAGAGATTAAGATACTGCTGTTGCTGCCAGCGGTTAGAAGGCTGCTCGGCCACCTGCAGCATCCGCGTGGTGCAGACAGTGTTTCCAAATCTCTCAGATATCTAACTAACTAACTCTCAGCAGCTAAGCACAGACATCTCTTTACATCTGCCACTTTGTATCTAATTGTTAGTGTTGTGGATCTTGTTAATTGTTGGCAGAGGTCTTTTTTACTGTCTGTGAAGCCTTAGGATACAATGTAAGGAAACATAAGGTGATTTAAGTATGAAAGAGCAAATAGATTTTTGCTCTATTTTCTTTTCAAATCATGGAATTTAGGCCTTTGCCGTTTATGCTTGTCTGTGCTGCAGCCCCCATGGCATCCCGCCCTGTCATCCTCAGAGAATATCAATACTCCGGCATTTGGTTTCCCATGAGAAAACAGAAGTGCAGGTCTAGGCAGGAGAGGGTTAAACCTAAAGCTGGGTTTCCAGAAATTCCAGGCAGAGCTTCTTGTCGCTGCAAAATAACCTGTTCATTAGGCATTCTGCTGCATCATTCTTGGAACTTAAATTCCCATTTTCATGTTAGTGAGTATTTTTGGAAGTCAATGAAGAGTATTAACTTATGCTCTGAAAAAATGAAACGGTCTTGTGACAGGTTTTGGAAGCGCGGTTGCAGTCATTCCCGTTTTAGATTATAGTAAATTCCTTCTGTGTCAAGCTCACTTTTTGTGCGTTTTCTTTTCCTCCCTTCGTCACGTTCGTTTTCCCTTCGGCAAGCTGTGCCTGTCTGCCCTGCCACACTGCCACCAGTGACAGCGAGGACTTCCGCAGAGCACCCGTCGAGCTTCATTTCTCCCACCCCCTGGTCTCTTCCTACCCTGTGGTGAGACCTGTGCCTAATTTTCAGCTCTGCTGGGGTAGCATATGATTACTTGAAAGAAAATTAGAAAGCATTTTACATTGCTTATTACAGAGCACTAATTGAAGCTCCACCAAACCCAAGGAATTCATTCTGCCATTGATGTGTGCATAACTCCTATTAACATTAATAAAGTTGTTTAGAATCAAAGAGCCGGCAGAAACCCATAATAGAGAACTCATTTTGATCCTGTTTCACGAAGTGACTCATACCCACAGGGCATCGACAAGCATTTTAAAGATAATTTTTACAACTACCTTTTAAAAAGTACAGCAATTACTGAATATATCATAACACACACATGCACTTTGAAGCAAACCTTGCTGGTTGCCATTTGTACAGTACTGTCCCACTCAGGCTGGAAGTCGCAGGCTCTGTCCATATTTAATCCGTGTTGGAAATACTGCCTCTGGCTGGTGCTCCTTCACATTTCCACTCGGGAGCTGGAGTGTTTGGGACTTGGAAGTGACAAGGGCGTAGCAGATGGGGAAGGCACAGGTGCAGTAGGAAGGGAATCATGCCCATGGTCATCCACAAGATGAGCAAAAGCAAATAGAAGTGTTTGTTCACCTGGGCCATTGGTGCCTGCCCTACCTCTGTGGGTATTGACCGGTAGCATCATGAAATGAAGAGCTGAGGGAAAGGGGGATTTTAGCCCAGACATTTGAGGAGCTGTCTGAACGTCCCATTTACCAATCTTTGCTGTGGGAGAAGGACCACAAAGAATCTGCAGATGTCATAGAAACAGGTATTTTGTAACTGGAAAATATCTCAAATCGTTCACATAAAATGCAAACACTAGGAGGTAGAGCTATGCTTTCTCTGTCAGTGTATGTATTTGTACAGTTATTATTTTCTCAACTTAATAGTAAGAGGAAACTTCCTAAACACATTCCATATTTAGGTTTCTGTGTTTCCCCCTCTTTTCCTACCTCTTTCTCCACTTCTTTTTCTGTCTATAATGAGGCATTAATTTATACAAATGTACTCAGTGCTTGGAAATGAGTTCACTTTGGGAGAAAGACCAGAAATACTTATACATTTATGTCTTATTCGGACATATTGTTGGTAACCTTTTGGTGCCCTTTATTCTTCTCTTAGAAATGTTAAATTTTATAATGCTTAGGTTAACACTTATTTTTAACTGTTGCTTTTTAAAAATCACTCTTCTTGAAAAGGAGAGGGAAAACAAGAAGTTAATTTTATTAGATTTTTGAAGTGCTGATCATAATTGAATTATTTCCCTGATGACCTGGCAGCATCTCACCAAGATTTGTCCTTGGAATGTCACTGAACTTTTCAAGAACTTTGAGTTCTCTTTACTTTTGTCTGGGGTTGGGAAAATGAGTATTCATTTCTGTAATTGTTAATCTGAATGTTCTAAGGAAGAGAAATACGGAATATCCCTTTAATCACTGACCTTTATTTCCGACCCTGCATTTTTTCTTAAAAAATAAATATACAGTTTCCAAAGGGAAGCAACAACACTGGCTATCAACATGTAGAATCCATCTGGCACTGTATGGGTAAAAACATGCCCAGAATGCTTTCCACTTATTCTTCACCATGGTGCCGCAAACTGGGTCAGGATTATCCCTGTTTTACAAATGAGGTGGCTGGAGCCAGAGAGGTAAAGCCAGCCCTCTTCAGGGCCACACATCCAGGAAGGGTGAGAGCCCAGATGAGGGAGGATTGAGGGTGGGGCTGCGCCATTACTGCCGAGCACCGCCTTCTGCTACATCTTGCTGGGGCCGTGGTATGTAGGACCAATGTCAGCCCAATGGGTCATTTGTTCCCAGAGATCCAGTTTGACCTCTGATACCTAACAGGGTTCCTGGAGCATGACAGACACTCAGTAAATATTTGTTAAATCAGTATATTATCAAAGCCAAAGAATTCATTAAGATTTATCATCTCGTCCTGGAGACTGCCCTTGGCCTTGCTGAATCTATTTTGAAACCTCTTTGCAGGTGAGTTTAGAAATATGTGTAGATATAGATACATGTTTAAAATACTATTACCAGAATTTGCCACATGTGCCATTGTGTTTAGAGGCCTCTGGTGACTGAGATTTTCAGCAAGTCAAAGATGCACAGTAGAGGGTACTATTTATATATACTTTCTCTTTGATTTAAAGTTATTTAAAGGGCTTTTTAGTTTTTTTTCTGACTTTAAAATTTTTGTTGTAGAAAATTTGGTGAGCTATAAGGAAGGAAATGAAAATATCTCTTAATCACATTATATTGAAATAGCAATGTTAAAATGTACTTTTCCCTCTTTCATGTATGGGGTATATAGCATGTATATGATTTTGATCTGGCTTCTTTTAATATTAAATTATGATCATTTTCTAATGGGATTGAATAATAACTGGAGTTTTCCATTCTGTGAGTAGACTAATTTAACCACTCATCATTCTTTTACTATGCAATCAAATATTCTCATATTTGATATTATAATAATGCTGTAATAAACATTCTGGAAGAAGGAACTAATAGACTTGACTAAGTAAAAGTATAAAACTTGTATACATAAAAAAACCTAGGCCGGGCACAGTGGCTCACACCTGTAATCCTAGCACTCTGGGAGGCCGAGGCGGGCCGATTGCTCGAGGGTCAGGAGTTCGAAACCAATCTGAGCAAGAGCAAGATCCCATCTCTACTATAAATAGAAAGAAATTAATTGTCCAACTAATATATATAGAAACAGTTAGCTGGGCATGGTGGTGCATGCCTGTAGTCCCAGCTACTTGGGAGGCCGAGGCAGTAGGATTGCTTGAGCCCAGGAGTTTGAGATTGCTGTGAGCTAGGCTGATGCCACGGCACTCACTCTAGCCTGGGCAACAAAGCAAAGCAAGATTCTGTCTAAAAAAAAAAAAAAAAAGAAAAAAATGAAATAGAAGAAACCTTAGGAAAAATATATTTGTCACAAATACACCAAAATTCCTAATAATCCATGCTCTGGTTTCTTTTCACTTCTTTTTACTAATTTTTTCCTCACATTTGCATAACTAGACACTCATTCTGGTTTCTTAACCCTCGCACTGGCACCCCATTTAACTAAAACTCTTCCAGTTAAGCATTTCTTTTCTTTCTTTTTTTTTTTTTCTTTTTTTGAGACAGAGTCTCACTGTGTTGCCTGGGCTAGAGTGCCATGGTGTCAGCCTAGCTCACAGCAACCTCAAACTCCTGGGCTCAAGTGATCCTCTGTCTCAGCCTCCTGAATAGCTGGGACTACAGGCATGTGCCACCATGCCCGGCTAATTTTTTCTATATACATTTTTAGTTGGCCAATTAATTTCTTTCTATTTTTAGTAGAGACGGGGTCTCACTATTGCTCAGGCTGGTTTCGAACTCCTGACCTCGAGTGATCCACCTGCCTCAGCCTCCCAGAGCGATAGGATTACAGGCATGAGTCACCACGCCCAGCCCCAGTTAAGCATTTCATTCTTTGCTCATGGTGTCCTTGATCCCATGCAGCAGGACCTCTCCTCCTCTGCTAGAACTTCCCAAGGATTGTCTGACTCGTGTCATTACCTCTGAAGGTCCCTAAGTAACTTCTGTACATTCCTCTTAGGTATAACTTTAAAACAAAAAAGCAAATTCAGACTACTGTGCACTATGCCAAGCAATGAGGCAGAGGTTTTAAAGTATGACATAGCCCCTGCCATTGAAAAACTTCCAGTCTACTTGGAGATAAGACATGACCACATGATACCACATGGATATACCACATGGATACAAGAGACATTAGATAAAAATTACTGGAAATTTCTATTTGGTAAACCCATAATCCTCTGTTTTCTATAATTTCTATAATTCCATTCGCCCGTGCCTTCAACACACCTGGGTCTTACTTGTCACTTCTCTTACCCATGAGGTGATTTCATACTTGATAATGGTTATGTCCTTAAGGTTTTACCCATGTGGTCACCATGATGGCAGGATTTCTGTCTATTTTATTCATTATTGTATCCCCAGCTTTTGGTGTGGCACATAGTATGTGCTCAGTTAGTAATTTATTGGATGTGTGAATAAAAAGTATGCATTTTTTTCTCCAAGTGGAGATTAACCAGCAAACAGGTATGTACAGTCATGTATCACCAATGGGGATATGTTCTGAGAAATGCATCTTTAGGCAATTTATTTGTTGCTTAAATGTCACAGAAAGTACTTACACAACCTAGCCTAGTACACATATTAGGGTCTTATGTTATAGCCTATTTCTCCAGGCTATAAACCTATAAGCATATTACCGTACTGAATACTATAGGCAACTGTAACAGACTCGTAAGTATTTGTGTATCTGAACATATCTAAACACAGAAAAGGTACAGGAAAAATATGGTATTATAATCTTATGGGACCACTGTTGCACATGACTGTACTTAGATTGGCACCAAATATAGCCAATTAAAAGGAGAGTTTGTGGTGGGCAAGACCTCTAGTTTAAATATCAGATTAATCAAATCCTGGGTCTTCAACTTACCAGCTTTGTAATCTTGGGCAAGTTAATTAATTTCTTCTAGATTCAGATTCGTTAGCTGAAAAACAGGGATAGAACCTACTCAACTGGGCTGTTAACAAGGGTAAATGAGGTTTATGTAAAGCCTAGCTCAGAACCTGGCATGTAGTAAGTATTCAGTAAATGTTAGCTATTATTAATAAATCTTTTCCCTTATTTATTGTCAAGCTACAACCTATTCTCAGGGACATATAAATAGAAATTGATTCGTGATGAAAAATAATATATAAGCTTTGGAGTCAGATAGGCCTGGCTCTGCCACTTGAGTAAATTACATAACTTCTCTGCACTTTATTTTCTTTATCAGTTGAAAACATAAAACATGACCCATTGCATAAGGTTACTGTGAGGACTAAATGGTTAAGGTATAGAAAGTGCCTAATATGTTCAGTAAGTGCTTTTTCCCCCCACCTTTGTCTTGGTTCAATTAGAAGACCCTTCTCTGTGTGCTTTTGCTACCAAGCAAAGCGTATTTGTCTCTCCCCACAGTGCAGTGTTCTTCTATTTATTTTGGTGTGACACACAGAATTTAATACATTTAATACATATCACAAATCTGTTATACATGTGTGATTAGAAAAAATATTATTCCACAAAATGCTGTGTATTATATGACACCAATGTTCGTTTGCTAGGGCTTCCATAACAAAGTACCACAGACTGGGTGGCTTAAACAGCAGAAATTTATTTCCTCACAGTTCCAGAAGCTAATAGTCCAAGATCAAGGTGTCAGCAGGTTTGGCTTCTCCTAAGGCCTCTGTCCTTGGCTTGTGGATGACCATCTTTTTCCTTTAGTCTTTCCTCTGTGGGTATCTGTGTCCTAATCTCCTCCTCTTAGAAGGATGCGAATCATAGTGAATTAGAGCCCACCCATAGTGACATCATTTTAAGTTAATTACCTCTTTAAAGGCCTTATCTCCAAATACAGTCGCATTCTGATGTGTACTAGAAGTTAGGGCTTCAGATACGAATTTTGGAGAGACACAATTCAGTCCGTAACAATGCCCTCAATATTTTTCTCTTTTATCTCATTAAAGAAAGGCTGGGCACAACCAATTGAATTTTTTTGACCCACTAAGTTGACTACCACCCACAGGTTGAAAGGCACTGCTCTAGTGGGTCGTGTTGGTTTCCCCGGTTAGTGGGAAGTTGGAACCAGCATTAGGACTTGCCTTTGACTTATTGTGGAGACAGCCCCAGAGGCTCGAAACAGTAAGAATCAGAGTGGGCAGCCTTCTGCAAACACAGAGACTACCTTAGCCCAGGGTTGGCAAACTTTTTCTGTAAAGGGCCAGATAGTAAATATTTTCATCTCTGGAGGCCATGCAGTCTCTATCAAGACAGTTCTGCTGTTGTGGTGTGAAAGCATCCGCAGACAATGCGTAAACAAATGGGCATGGCTGTGTTCCAGTAAAACTTCACTTATGGACACTGAAATTTGAATTTCGTGTAATTTCCATGTGCCATGAGATATTCTTTTGATTTTTTTTTTAACCATTTAAAAATCTAAAAACCATTCTGAGTCCATGCACTGTGCAGAAACGGGCAGTGGGCAGATCTGACCCATGGCTGTGGTCTGTTGACCGCCACCCTCGTTGGCAGAGCTCGGGCCTCTCTCGCTACAGGCTCTCAAGGAATTGACCTGGGTGATTTCCCTCTGTTCCTGTAAATTCTTCACTCATTATCTTATCTGCCCCTTGTGATGATTTATCTTTATTTTCAAAAGGAAAATCTCTGTGGCACGCATGATAAAAAGAGCTATTTAAAAAGCAAATGTTATTTTCTTACCAAAGGGAACTCTAACTGTGGATTGGGGCAAGGGTCGGGAGGGGGAAATCCTTAAAGGACCCATAAAATTATTGTTTGTCAGACAGTGAAGTTTGGGGTAGAGTTAGCATCAGAAAGTCTACACAAAAACAACAGAATTCTACTCTAGGAAGGGGTCTTCCTCGGGAAGCTAATAGTTAGGAAAATGGAGTGGCCAAAGAAAGGCCTGGATTTCCTCATGGTACCTGGGAAGAGAGCAGCTCAGCAGCAGGGGCCTGGCCCAGGCTCCCCCCAGGACAGGGTTGGCTAGAGGGTGACTGAAGTCTTCTCCACTGGGCCCCCACATCCTCCACAGCCCTGCAGGGTTCCTTTTGCAAGCTACGTTGTAGGCTTCCTGAGTGGCCGTCTCTCTCTTCCTGGGGGGCTGCCTGCAGTCTCAGGGTGCCCGTCTCAGTGCCTGAGTAAATCTGCTTTACTAGAGGGTCCAAGAGACCAAAGGTGTCGGGGAGAGCCAGTCCAGCCATGCGGTTTCTATGCTCCAAGGGATTTATTCCAGTGGTGACTGGAACACTGTGCGGAGCGTGTGTCTAATGGTAATGGACAGACTGACAGGATGCAGGGGGGGCCTGGCAGAGACGAGGGCAAGCTGCCCTCAAGACTGGGGCACAGACCCAGTCTC